GAAGGCGCTGAGGCTTCTGGCCTGGGGACAGAGCTGCTCAGGGGACTGGGCTACATCGCCAGCGTCAGCCCCGTGGTCCCTGGAGTGACAGAGGTGGATGCTGGAGAACACTCCTTCTGGTTTGGGGGTCTGTGCTCAGCACAGGCAGGGTCCCCGAGGCATTTGTGCTGCTTTCTTTTCCCCAGGGTCCCTCTGCCCACCCTCATCGAAGCCCGGCTGCCAGGGCCAGTTCCACACCCAGGGGCAGTGTCTTCATCATGGAGGCCACTTCCTGTTCCACTCACACAGGCCAAAGGAAGAAGACTGGAAGGTGTAGCTGATCCCAGGTGTCCTCAGGGGAAGCCACCTGGTGTCCTCGGAGGTCCCTGTCATAGGAACAGGGTTCAATCTCAGGAGGGAGGAAGCTGCCACACACAGCTGTGTGGCCGGGCCTGGGGGCACCGTGCCAGGAGAAGGGCAGGATTTGCGGAGACCCAAAGCACAGTGTGAACTGCCAGGGGCTGGAAGGTCGTTTCCTGGGGGCAGGTTTTGGCTTTGCAGGGCGAGAAAGCTCTGCAGATGGGTGGTGGACAGCCCTGAATGAGTGTGGATGCTCTTTCGATTTGGCTTTGTGAGAATCTCTCCTTCCCCTCCCCTTTACCCTGTCTCTCAGCTCTGTGTTGTCCTCTGACTGTGGCCTTCGTGGCTCTGCCCCAGGGTCACTTTTAGGCCAGCAATCAACAAGCCTGTTCTCCCAAGGACTCAGACCCTAGCACAGATGTAGGCCGTTCCCGGAAGTTGCTCAGGGGCCTCGTTGGCTGCAGAGGCCCAGGGCGTCCCCAGTGTGAAAGCAGCCTTGGAAATGCAGGCACAGAAGCAAGCTGTTTTCTCTGTCGCCATTGGAATTCTCCGCACTGCACGGAGGAAGCAGGGCATGAGCTTTCCTCTTGGTTTGCTTGGATCCAAACCTCTAAATATAAATGGGTCGTAGCTCAATGGCTCCCCGCCTTCCTAGCAAGCACAAGGTACCGAGTTCGATCCCCGGTACCAAAAAAAAGAGAACAGAGAGGAGCAGAAAATGGGGCCGGGCTGCGGTGAGCCGTCTGAACCGCATTTTCTGGGTCCTGGGTCACCGCTTCACAGTGAGACTGGCGTGGTGTTTCTGGAAGGAGGTGAATCCACGTGGGGTGAGAGTGCCCCTGAAGGGTCCCCGGCCTGTGGAAGGTTGGTTAAATGGCCTGCTATTCATAGATAAGAATTATAAGATCAGGGTACTTTTCTTAAAAATTCCACTACTAGCTGGGGGTGGCAGCACATGCCTGTGATCCCAGCACTCGGAAGGCTGAGGCAGGAGGATCGCCATGAGCTTGAGGCCAGCCTGAGCTACATAGTGAGACCCTGTGTCAATAAACAAAACAAAAATCCTTACCATCAAAGCTCTCGTACAACATTTTGCTGTTTTTAAAGCCTTGAGTTTTGCAAAACCAGAAAGTACAAATTTCTGGGTTGAATGGAGCCTAAGTTTTCCCTCATCTCTGGTCAGGCGATGGGATTTCGTGGGTGAAGAACCAGAGGCCCAGGGGTGCCCGTGTGCCCGCATCAGGCCCCTGAGATGGCGCCCTCAGCCTCCCTAGCAGCCCCGGGTTCCACACCCAGAAACATCTCGGAAAAGGGGCGGGAGGTTCCTGTGTTCCATCTTTTAGGGCTCTCAAGAGTTCCTGTTAGCTGCAGGCCAGTCCTGGGTGTAGCCCCGGAGGCAGGGAGATGGCCGGGGAGATGAGCGGTAGGGGAGAGACAGTAGAGGACTGGTAGGTGGAAGACAGTGCGCAGGAAGACAGACAGCAGACAGATGTCCTTGTCCTTGTCCTGGGCAAGCCCTGCGGGAGAGCGAGCCGGTGTCGCTGGCTGGGAGCGAAGGGTCCTTTCTTCCTGTGAAGCCCTCGTCGTGTCGGGAGCAGCAAGTGAGGGGTGTGCAGCTTCCCACGGACCCTCCCACCGCAGCCCTGGAGAAAGTATAAAAATAGACACTTTGGAGAGGAGCCAGAGCCCCGCTCACCCGGCCCTGGGTGCGGGAGGTGGTGGAAGAGGAAGCAGAGGAGAGGCAAACATTCTTGAGCTCCCCGGGGATGGCCCAGCTGGGGACAGTGGTGGCCAGCGGCACCACACCCCCCAGGGGACTGGGGACTGGGTTCCTAAGCAGGAACGGCCCAGGTTGGGGAAGAGGCTGGGGGTGCTGAGAGAGGCCTCTATCCAGGGCCCACGGTCGGTCGGACTGGGACAGAGACTGGGACAGCGGGACGCTGCCTGCCTGTGGATGCCCTCAGTAGCTGGGTCTCACTGTGTTGCTAAGTTCCCCCGGCTGAGCTTGAACTTGCAGTCCTCCTGCCTCAGCCTCTCACAGTGCTACAGGTACAGGCGAGGGCTGCCTGGCCCCAGCAAGGGGCATAAGAAACCCTCGTCCTCACTGCGGCGGTGTTCAGGGGAACCCTTGCTGTCCTTCCCAGCCGGAGGTGGCAAGAGTTAACCTGCCCCGACCCCCACCACGTGGCAGAGGTCTCGTCCCCTCCACGTCCCCGTGGTCCCCGCCCCCAGTCTGGGGCTGCTGGGTGCAGAGTGAGGCCCAGGAGCTCGAGGCCCCAGGACAAGCTCAGTGTCACCCACCACGCCACTGTGACCTTCAGGGCTGGGGTGTGGCTCCCTGGGGGGCACTGGCCCAGGGGGCCCAAGGAGGCCTGGGTTCTGTCCAGCAGGAAGAAAACCTTGCTCTTTTGGTGTTTGAAACAGCATAGTCCAGGCTGGCCTTGAACTCACTGCGTAGCCCAGGCTGCCTCACATTTGCAGCAACCCTCCTGCCTCAGCCTCCCAAGTGCTAAGAGTACGAGCCTGCGCCACCATGCCCTGTTAACCTGGGTTGATTTCTAGGAACCAGCCTGGCTCTGGCTGAAGGGTTTGTGGTCTGTGTTTTGCTCATCTGTACCCGGGGTGAGATTTTCGGGGTGCTTCTGCTCCGTGCTGCAGATTCGCAAGGGGCCCTGGGGGTCCTGCAGCCCTCGGGGAGGGAGACCGCAGCAGGTTCCAGCGTCTTACACAGCTGAGGCCGAGTGTGCCAGCGCCCCATCCTGCCCCAGTCTTCGTCCCGGACTTGGTCGTACCACTGTCACCTTGGCTGACCTTCATCTCCGGGAACTGGGCTCCGTGCAGAAGGCCCCTGAAAGCTAGAGCCCCAAGAAAGGGTTAAATCCTGTCCCCTGCAGCGGCCAGGGCCCATGTGAGGGAGGGCGCTGCGCAGCCTCAGCAGCCGCCAGCAGCCCAGGAACAAAGCCACTTTCATGGGAAATGCTGTGCCCGCCTTTTCTGGGCCAGCCCCGGGGACAGCGGGTGGGTGTTTACTTTCCTCCTGCCTCTGGCGCCACCGGGTGGGTTTGGGGCTTCTGAATCTTGGCATGGGTCCCCAGATCCTTGTGGGGGCTGGCACTCAGAGCCAGGGACAGCGGGGCGCCCCTGTGCTGAGCGGTGACCTTGAAGGGCAGGGTCAGATGGGGGAGGAGGTGCTGAGCTCACGTAGGGTCCTGGAGCTGATTTAATCCTCGCCACTTTCCACCCTCTGCTCTGAGCCAGGCAGGGCTTCCTGTCAAGCTGGAACTTCTCTCCTCCCTATACCTTTGCGGATTCACTCACTCACTGGCTCGCTCTTTCGCTCATTCACTCATTTGTTCTTTGGTCATTCATTCACTTCTCGTTTACTAGTCATTCATTCACTCACTCATTCATCACGTAATGGCCTGAAGCCCCTAGAGCCCACCTCAGTGCTGGATCCAAGTACTGAAGGCCAGGGCTGACCTTGGGGCGCTCTTTGAGCCTGCAGAGCTCATTTGGGCCATCAGAACCCCACCTTCCCCACTTTTCTGTGGTGAAAGCTCTAACACTGAAATGAACACCAAAACCAGTGTCTGTCTTTGATCGCCAAATGGCAGGTCTCTGTGTTCAAGACTTTTTCCTTGATTGTTACGAGTTTTGTACTTCTAAGTATTTATGTGTAGATTTCTTTTAATTTTTCTGGCTTAGGGATCATGGATTTTTTAGACTTGTGGCTTGATTTCTTGCCTTTTTTTTAAAATTGCGCCACCACAGATTAACCCTAACCCTTCACACTAAGCTAATCCCCAGCCCTTTTTGCTGTTTATTTTGAGACAAGGCCTCACTGAGGTGCCCAGGCTGGCTTGAATTTGTGATCTTTGTATCTCAGCCTCCCAGTGCTGGGAGGACAGGCCTGTATCACCATGCCCAGCTCTGATTTCTTTAGTGTATTTGGGGAGATTTTGATACAGAGTTTCTGGGGAGGTGCAGTTTCTGGGCCTCCTCTGTAGCCCACCTGCTGCCCCGGGGTTCAGGCTGCTCCCCTCCTCTGCCGTCCTCAGCACCCCTCCTGTGTCTAATCTTGGGGTACAGTCCCTGCCTGCATGCTGCTTTCCTGTCTTCTCTTCTAGGTCCCCCATTTGATTATTCTTAAGACTTTTGGTCACAGATACAAATGGGAATCACTCTTTCTTCTCTTTTGTTTCTCAAATATTAGTTATTTTCCTGTCTGTCTCTTAACTCCGATTTTGTATCTCTAGTGAGTTTTTCTGGTTTTGGTTGGCCCCCTGGGGGTCGCACTTGCTGAGACTCCTGGCAGCTCACCAATTTTGTTTATTCCATATTTGATTTGTGTCAGAAAGGTACAGCGTGTGGGGCGGAGGCTGTAGACTGTTGTGTGGTGCTGGCCGGCAGGACTGGCCCCGGGGACCCATGTGTGTCTCTCCACACAGCAGTGCAAGGGCATGGGGCCTGAGCGAGCTCACAGGGACCCCCAACAGGGCTCCTGCACCTGGTGGCACCCAGCACCCTCCATCATCCTGAGGTGGGCACCAGAGGCCCAGGGCAGCAGGACGAGGGAGAAATCAGCCCGGCTCCTTGGCGAACCTGCAGAGGAGGGAGGCTGGGACTTGGGTGGTCAAGGCCCCACTTTCTCTCCACTGCAGATCCACACAGCTGCTCCGAGGTCCCCAGCCACGCCTCGGGGATGTCAGAGAGCCCTCTGGGACCCAAACCTGCGATGCTCCGGGCTGATGTGGCTGAGACGCCCACCTTCCCACAGGCGTTCACCGCTTCCTGCATGGTGTCCAGCCACTGCCCAGGCCAGCGCCGAGAGAGGTAGGAGGATGGGCAGAGACGAAGCTCCACTCGGGAAGCCCTGGTGCAGCACAGTGCTAAGTGGGAAGCCGGGGGGAGGCTGAGGGTCCGAGGGGCACCCAGCCCAGGCTGGCCTTGAACTCAGGATGATCCTCCCGCCTCAGCCTCCTGAGTGCTGGGATTACAGGATGGCTTTTTATTTACTCACTTCCTTTTCTGTTGTTTGTGAACAGCCTGCCCTCCACAGAGCGCCAGTGGCTGGAGAGCAGCCCCAAGTCCACTCTGACCCTGTGGGGCAGCAGCCGGCCCTCTGGAAGTCCCCTGGGTGCTAGCGAGTTCTCAGGCCTGGGCAAGGATGCCCCAGGGCCGCCCTGCTTTCCAGCCTCAGACCTGCAGGCCTCTTTCCATGGCCACGAGCTGACCCTGGCAGGGCCGCCGGGCTCTCTGTCCGCCCCGGGCAGCCAGGCCTTCCTGGGCTTCAGCACCGTGGCCCCAGTGGGAGGTGGCCTTGCGCCTGGTGAGGATCCGGGCTCCCTGCTGCCCACTGCCCACGGAGTGCCCCCGACCCCCGGCGGGGCCCTGACCGCACCAGCTGCCGCCAGCAATGGCTTCCTGTCCCACAACTTCCTCACTGTTGTGCCTGGACACAGCGGCTGCCACAGCCCCAGCCTGCAGGGCCAGGGGGCGAGCCTGCCCGGGCAGCCGCCACTGCCAGAGAAGAAGCGGGCCTCGGAGGGGGACCGGTCCCTGGGCTCCGTGTCCCCCTCATCCAGCGGCTTCTCCAGCCCGCACAGCGGCAGCACCATCAGCATCCCCTTCCCCAGCGTCCTGCCTGACTTCTCCCGGCCTGCGGAGGCCGCCTCGCCCCTGCCAGGTAGGTGCCCCGCTGCCGCACCTGGGGAGGGAGATCCGGGTTCATGCTGTCACACGGCCCGCTCAGGCCCGGATCCCACCCAGGCGTCCCCTGATGCTGCTCACCTTCTTCGTTTTTCCTCCGCTCCCTTCATCGGGGGTGGAAGGCGCAGGTGTTTGCTGTGGCTCCGTTTTCCCTTTTAGTCCTAGAACCTCCCTCCTGGAAAGTTAATCTTTTTCTAATTGAAATGAATTCACCCAAAATTTACTTTTTTTTTTGGTACCGGGGATCGAACTCAGGTCCTTGTGCTTGTGCAGCAGGTGTCGAAACCACTGAGCTAAATCCTCGGCCCTAGAATTTAATTATGAAAAATTTCAAGTGTATAAGAAAGAGTACAACACTGATCTTGCTGTTTGTTTCCTATTTATTGATTTATGTGTTTGTTCATTTATTGAGACAAAGTCTCCCTATGTAGCCCAGGTTGGCCTCGAACTCATTATGTAGCTCCTCCTGCCTCAGCTTCCCGAGTACTGGGATTACAGGAGTGTGACACCGTGCCCCATTTTTTTATGTGTTTCAAATACGCCCCGAAGAGTCCCCATCGGGGCTCCTGCTGTCTTGTGGGATGGAACAGGAGCTTTCTTCTCCCACTCGATCATTGCAGATGTGGCTCTCTTCCCCGTAGGGCAGTGCCTATGTCCTGGCCCCTCGTCCCTGGCATAGGATCTTGAGGTGCAGGGACATTGCACCAAGAGCCTGCAGTAAGAGTCACTGCCTCTCTGTTTGGCTTTGCAGATAGTCCAAACGACAAACTAGTGATCGTCAAATTTGTTCAGGACACTTCCAAGTTCTGGTACAAGCCGGATATCTCGAGAGACCAAGGTACGTGGGAGGATGAGGGCGTCCCGGGGCATCTGTCCCCTTCCGGGCCCGGGGCCTGGGCAGGAGGGGACCTGCGGTGGGGACATTACCGGGCCACGCCACTGTGCACCCCACGCCTGCCGTGGAGACACCAGGCCTCTAGTTCCTGTAGGAAAAGCCTGGAGTGGGGGGTGAGAAGTAGGGGTACCTGGTGAGCTTTCTGGGGTGCGAGTGGCTCCGCAGCCCCAGTGAGGCTGCCGTGGAGGATCAGGGGCCTGGGCCACCGAGGATGAGGGGGTGAGGGAGCAAGGCCGTGCTGGCTGCCAGGTTCGGTGCCAGGGCAGGCGCCCAGTGTCCGGCTGCGGTGTGGACAGAACCAGGGGCCTCCAGGCGGCTGGGGAGTGCAACCCACTGGGCCCCCTGCCAGGTGTTTAGGAGTTTTAAATCATTTGTTTTTACTATTTCTCTTTGTTGCTCTTTAAAAAATTACTACGTAATAATAGTTCATATGTACAGGGGCAACATGGCAACGTCATGCTTGTCTGCAGGTGTCATGGCCCAACTGGGGTGGTTTTTCCTTTTTACTAAACATCATGAAATCACCCATATGTTCAAGCAGCTTTTGTTGTGCCCCGTCCCATACTAGAGATGGACCCAGGGCCTTGCCACTGGGCTGGATCCCTGCCCTTTTTAGTCTTTACTCTGAGACTGAGTCTCACAGGGGCCATGCAGGGCTCACCAGCCTCCTGGCTCAGTCTCCCAGAGGGTCACAGGTATGCGCCCACTGCCTCACCCAGCAATGTGCCCTGTCACCGGTGCGTGGGTGGACGTCCTTCCCAGTGATGCCCTCAGGAGCCTGTGTCCGTCCCCTGCCCTGGAAGTCTCACTCTGGCAGTGTGGACCTGGAAGCCCCTTGGCGTTCCTGGGTGGGGTTGATGTGGGAGGGACAGGGAACGGGGTCAGGATCCCTAGGAAATGAAATGACCCCAGGCCACTGTGGGGAGAGCCGGAGCTGGTGGTGTAAAACGGGAGAGGGGCGAGTGTCCCAGGTCCCGGGAAGCTGGCTTAGTCGTGTGACCCTTGGGAGAGAGCCAGCCTCTGTCCTTGCCTCATGTCCCAAGAACACCCAGAGATGAATAGGGGGTGGCCGGGCAGTGCCCTTGCCCGTTCCCTCGTTGAAATTCTGCCATTTGGTTATGTGGAGAACAGAAATTGCAAGAATGTGCATTTCTTTCAGGGGCTCAATGACACCATTGTCATTTTAAATGGGAGAGAAGGGAAAGGAAATTAAAATCCCATGGCCTGGGAGGGCTCGCATCTCCCTGAATTGGGCTTTGTGGGAAGCTGCTTGCTGTGTCTGCAGGCACCAGGGGCCCAGGGGCCAGGGGCCCATTCCACCAGCCAGGGTGAGGAGACGGCAGGGCGCGCTTGCGGGGCGGCAGAGCCTGGAGCGGGGGCTGGGGGCAGTTGCCCTCTGTGCCTGTCCACTTTCCTCACTGTCATGAAATACTGGAGCCATTTACCTCAAAGAAGAAGGGTTTATTTTGGCTCGTGGTTCCAGAGATTCAAGTCCGAAAGGAGGTTGGCCCGGGCTTTAGGCCCCAGGTGGGGATGCACGGGCTGAGGGAGCTCAGTCTGGGACCCAGAGGCCCCTTCCTTCTGGCTCCACCCCAGTGACCTGCAGGCCTCCCATCAGCCCTGACCCCGAGGTTACCACCCCTCTGGGGGACCATGGCTACCTCAGCACCCCGTGCCCCTTGAAAAACAGTCGGCACCCGGGTGGCAGTGCCAGCGGCGCACAGTGAGCACCCGCAATCTCCTGTCCTCTTTCTGGCCATGCCTCCCCGCCTCACCCCTTTTGCAAAGGGGCCTGGAGAAGAGGGCGGCTCGCTCCGTGTTCTGCCTCGGTACCCTAATACTGAGGTGTGTGATATGTAAAGAACAGATGCTTATTTGATGCCAGGTCCTGGAGGGTCCAAGAGCATGAGGATAGGATGAGTTCCCCGCTGCTTGCAGTCCTGGTGGGAAGCAGAAGTTGAGCACAGGAAGGGGGACCTGGATTTAAAATAATTCCCGTGCAAAGTGCCTGATCCCATCTCGGATTTCAGCATGAGTTTGGGACGAACCGTAATTAACTCCTGGCAAGGTCATGAGTAATAGTAGCTCACGCCTTTCTCCTCCTGTCCTCCAGCCATCGCCATGCTGAAAGACAAAGAGCCCGGGTCCTTCATCGTGCGGGACAGTCACTCCTTCCGGGGTGCCTACGGCCTGGCCATGAAGGTTGCCACCCCTCCTCCTTCTGTCCTGCAGCTGAACAAGAAAGGTGAGGTCCCTGGAGTCCGTCCCTTCTGCTTGCCTGTGGAGGGCCTGCGGGTTTATGTTGATGCAAAGAAGATGGTAGGTGCTTATGGCAGTTCTCATGGGTTTTCTTCTTGGTATTTATTATCTCAGGAATATTTTTCTAAGTGCTCATCTTGTTCAAGAAAGAACATTAATTATTTATGAATTTTATTTTCTGAAATTTGAATAGTGCATCGGTCAGCTTTTGTGTTGCTGAGACATGGTCCCTGACACCTGTCCCTTAGAGGAGGGGAGGTTTAATGTGGCTCGCTTTTTTTGGAGATTCAGTCCATGGTCAGCTGGCTCCAAGGCAGGACCATAATGGCAGAAGAGCATGGCTGGGAAGGAGCGCAGGGAGACAGCACCAGAGAGGAAGCAGCCAGGGACAGATGTAGACCCCCATGGTCACACCTACGTGAGACACCCAGACACGCCCCAAGGCTGGCTCTGACTATTCTCTGGGCAGATGCCAAAGCCAATCAAGTTGGCAGAATCAAACTTCACTTTCACACATAGGCCATTATTCTACTGTGTAGAAGTAAAAAAGATGAAAGAAGGGATCCAGCAGGGATCCACCTTTCTTCTGTTTTCAGTCCCACCCACCTTGCTACCCACTCTCCTTTCAGTAACCATATACAACACACATTCATGTGTCTGCATTAACTGTGTGCCCGAGTGCAGACACATGTGCATTTTCCCTTTTTCTTACATCAGAAATGGCATTTTACATACACTATTCCTTTTTTGTTTTTGTTTTTTTTGGTACTGGAGATTGAACTCAAAGAGCAGAAATGATGAGCTTATGAAGAGAGAAGGTTTATTTTAACTCATGGTTTCTAAGAGTTCAGTCCATGGACCTTGGCTCCATTGCTTGGGGGCCAGTGGCAAGCCGCACAACGTGGTGGGTAGGTAGAGCAAAGGGTTCACCTTGTGGCTGCAAAGTGAAGCACAGAGGAAGAGAAAGGAGCTGGGGTTCCACTGTTCCCTTCAAGGGTGAACCTACCTTGACCAAAATGCTCTACTAGGCCTTACCTCCTGAAGTTTCATCACCTCCCAAGAGCGCCAAGCTAAGGACTTGACCATCACATAGGGTGCCTTTGGGGATGTTTTAGATCCAAACAGTAGCAGATGGGGAGAGATCAGAATAAGCGCAGATTTTGAAATCCCCGTATTTAAAGAAATACGAGACCCTTGCTTGCATCTCAATGCCCCATGTCTACCGGAGAGGATGAAACCTCTGCTTCAAGCTTCCTGGAGAAAGTAGACCTGGAGTCCTAAGGTTTGGTGGCAAGAGGGCCAGCCCCAGGCACGGCTGAGGTGTCCCCAGGCAATGCAATGGTCTTCTCTTGGCAAAGGAAGTGATGTGAGAGGAAGAGATGGAGCGGGCTGGGGAGGGCACCTGGGTCTCCATCAGCACAGCCTAGACCCATGGGCACAGAGAGTTCCTCAAGGGAGGGAGGCAGAGGTTTGTGCAACATGAGAGATTGGAAAGGGGGCTCCTAGAGCATCCCAAGTTCCAGATCGAAAGCTAGCTGTCTTAGCCCTTTCCTGTTGCTGGAACAAAATACCGACACCTGCAACTTAAGGGAGGAGAGGTGCGTTTGGCTCACGTTTCCAGTGGGTTCAGTCCATGGTTGGCTGGCTCCAAGGCAGAAACCTTGAGGCAGAAGGGCCAGATGGAGGAGAGCTGCTCACCCCGTGGCAACTGGGAAACAGAAAGAGCAGAGGAGCTGGGACAAAAAGACACCGTTCCAGGTTACATCCCAGGAGCCACCTCCACCCAGGCCTGTCTTAGTTACTTTTCTCGTTGCTGAGACAAAATACCCGACACCCAAAGTTAAAGTAGGAAAGGTTTATTCAGCTCACAGTTTGTAGAGGTTTCAGTCCATAATTGACTGGCTCCAAGGCAGTGTGGTGTGGCAGATGGCCCTTGAAGGGGAGAAATAGTCTGTGGTGGGCAGAAGATAGCAAAAGCAACAAGGGACCTGAGCAGCATCTTCCTGCCCCTTGCATTTTACCCAGACTTCTTAGGGTGGGCAGCACTCACACCCTCCATCCTAGTGCCCTTGAGCCTAGCATCACACTATGAATCAATCCCAGCGTCACACACTCTAGACCCAGCCACCTCTGAAACAGCCCCTCCTGTGACCACATGAGGCTTGGAGAGGACACCTAGACCCCGCCATAATGAGGCCTCACCTCCTAACAGCACATTCAGCCATGAACTCATCCGTGGATGAATCCACTGATTAGTACCGTGCCCCGGGACCCAGTCCCCTTCCCATAGCCCGGCAGTGAATGCAGAGTTGTGAGGACATCCAGCTTCCTCTGGAAACAGACTACAGCGGGAGGACGTCTCAGGACAAGAACATCTGGCAAGCGGCAGATAGGAGGGTGATGCGGCCGGGCTGGCATGGGTGCAGCTGCTCCGCGTTCTGCTCCCCGCTTGGGTGCGAGAGCAGCAGATGTCAGGAAGTCCCACACTGGGCGTGTCCCAGGGGCAAATAACATCCGGGCGCTCTGTCTTCACCCAGCCTCTGGGTTTCACGGTCCAAGGAAAAGTCTTGAGGGGAGAGTTGGCCAGAGTAGTGACTCACTCACAGTGAGCGAGTCACCGTACCAGCTCGGGGCCACCCTGAGACACCCACTGCCGTGACAGGCACTGCTCTCCAGAAAGCCCGGCCGGGTGGTCTCCCCTGGCCGCCGCCCATGGGTGGCACAGAACCTTCCTGGAAGGAAGGAAGTGTCCCCCACTTCCTCTGACTCAGCCTCATGGGATCTGACGGTTTCCTGTGCAGCGAGCCTTCCGCCTCGGCAGTAGCCAACGCTGCTATTTTATTCACGTTTGTCCCTGTTGACAAACATCATCTGGGAACCACTACAGACTGAGTGTCCTTCATTCAAGGTGCTCGGGACTGCAGATGTTTCAGATTTTGGATTTTTTCTTTCAAATTTTGGACTCTTTGTAGGTAAACAATGACATCTGTTGGGGGTGGGACCCGAGTCTAAACTCGGGGCTCATTCATGTTTCATGCACACTTTGTACACATGGCCCGAAGGCCATTTTATGCCTTCTGTTTGTTTTTGGGGACAGGGTCTCACTATGTAGTTCAGGCTGGCCTTGAACTCTATGAAGCTCGGGCTGGCCTTGAACTCGTGATGATCCTCCTGCCTCAGCCTCCCGAATGCTGGGATTACAGGCATATACCACCGTGCCTGGTGTTTGCTCCCATTTTTAAAAGCTGGTTTTTCTTCCTTTTTGTTACTCCTTACTTCACCAGGGGATCTGTCCAATGAGCTCGTCCGGCACTTCCTCATCGAGTGCACCCCAAAGGGCGTCCGGTTGAAAGGGTGCTCCAATGAACCGTATTTCGGTGAGTCCATGGCAGGCCCCTCCTGACCTGATTCTGGGCCCCCAGATTCCCTCTGCAGCAGTCCTGAGATCAGAGACCTTGCTGTCCCAGTGGTCGGCTCACATTTCAGGTCTAAGATTCCTTGCTGTGAGGTCTTGTCTCTAGGCCAGAGTAGTTGTGCGGTGATTCTTCAAAGCTGGGTACAGGCAACGCATGACAGGCACTGTGGCTGTCAGTGGGGCGCTGTCCTGCTCGTCAGGGGGAGTCTGCGAGGCTGCACCCCAGGGAGACCCTACCCTGCCCGGGGCTGCAGAGTAGGTGCAGGGTAACCGCCACCCTGGCCTGTCAGGTTCCTGCAGGTGGGTGGCGTGGGTGGGAAAACTGGGGTTGCCTTGATCTCAGCCCCCGGTTTTAGGTCCAGCAAATGTGCTCGGTTTCTTCTTTGCCCTTTGGTAGTGACGTGTTCGTGCTAGTAGTCCATTGCAGTTCCTACCACTTACCTACCCCTTAGTGGTCTTTTCTCCTTTTCTTTTGCATTACCGAGGATTGAGCCCAGAGCCTTCTCGCTGAGCTACAGCCCCAGTCTTTTTAATTTTGAGACAAGCTGTGGCTACGTCACTATGTTGTCCATGCTGAGCTCAAACTGACAATCCTCCTGCCTCAGCCTCCCAGAGTGCTGGGATGACAGGTGTGTGCCTCCCCACGCAGCCTGCTTAGCTGTCTTATAGAACCTGTCTCATCTTTGAGGTTCTGGGCCATGTCCCAGACCATGCAAGGGGCTGAGGGTGAAGGACTCAGCCCTGGCAGCGATTCGTTTCAGCGGCGCAGCGGGGCACAGGCCGTTGGTGCTCACTGGCTTCTGTCCCTGCAGGGAGCCTGACCGCCCTGGTGTGCCAGCACTCCATTACGCCCCTGGCCTTGCCCTGCAAGCTGCTCATTCCAGAGAAAGGTACAGGCTGGGCGGGGCCGGGTGCTCACACAGGGGCTCCTTCTCCAGGGTGCACTCTGGACAGAGACAGGGAGGCTGAAGAGCTCTGCTCGGTCGCAGAGGGGCCTAGGCCCGGCTGCAGCCAGAAGCTCCTTGGCATCTGCCTGCTGTGGCCCAGGGAAAGCAAAGACCTGCAGCTAAGAAATACACAGTGGTCAAGGCTGTTTCCCTATAGTTTTATGACTCTATAAAATGGGCAAAATATCGATACTGGTGAATTGAGATGATGGAGGAACCATTTCCCAAGTGTTATGTTTGTTTGAGTCTGTTTAAAAGGTGACAGCTGCAGAATATCAGAACAAACTGATCCTCAGTCCCGGCTTTCTTGCGCAGTCTCAATTATCCAGAGATGCTTTTCCTAGAAGGGTGTCTCAAAAAAATGCAACCAGCTGGGATGTACCGTTTCACTTTGAATTTTTCATATGAATGAACTCAGGGGTCAGAACGATATTCACTGGGCTGTGCCATCCCTGACATTGGGGTGTGGCAGTTCCAGTGGGCTGGTTGTTGTCCTCAAGAGAAGCTCTCAACTCTGCACGACAGCCGCGAGTCACCTCCTGAGAATTCTGTCCTCAAACTGCCTGCCTTGTCAGGAAAAGCATTCATCCCGTGCTTTCTCACCCCTTCCTGCAGATCCACTGGAGGAAATAGCAGAAACCTCTCCCCAGACGGCTGCCAACTCTGCCGCCGAGCTGCTGAAGCAGGGTGCAGGTTAGTCCCTCACTGCGGGCTTGGGACAGGGAGGTGCTTGGTGCCCCAAGTCCTCCTGCACTTCCGTTCCTCCAGCTTCCTTCTCTTGCTCGGTCTGGGAAGGAAGCTGCCTTTTATGAACGCATGCAGAGTTGGGTGGGGTGCAGCTGCCAGTGCCAGGACCGGGGCATCCATCACAGGCTGGAAATACTGGCCTGACTCGAACACGACCAAAGTCAGTGGAATAAATGCCAAGTCCTGCATTGCGTTTGGGGGCAAGTGAGTGAAACAGGATGTGGGTGACCCGCCTCGCCAGCTGCAGATGTGACTCAGTCACTGCCCGACATGAATCAGCATGTGGACCCACAGTGGCCCCCAAGCCCGTGGTCCTAAGACTAGGCCAAGGTGCGGAATGTTTTATTAAGACTCTGCTTTAGAGGTGACAGATGCACAGCAAGTCTGAGAGGGAGGTCAGGAGACTTCCATGTGGATGCATCGGGCCCCCAGTGAGGACATTTGTACAGCTCCTGAGCCACCTGACACGGGGCTAACCAGAGTGCATAGTGTGGGTTAGGGTCCAGGCATGGTTCCACCCTCTGTGGTTTGGGGGAAGCGTGTGTGGCAGTATCCCCATTACCACATCATGAAGAACATTTTCCCAGCCCTGTAGCTCCCCTGCTCCGCTCCGCCCTCCCCTGTTCAAGCCCCGGCAGTGACTGTGTGCCTTTTACTCTGTCTCTAGTTCTGTCTGCTGCAGAAGGTCTCACGGCAGTCACACGCTGTGCCCCACCTTCACATGGGCTTCTTTGGCTGAGTAATACGCACTGACATGTCCTCCACTCCTTTTCCAGTTTTGCTGGCTCGTTTCTTTTCAGCACAGGACAGCACTCGGTGGTCAGGATTGATTTATCCATGCACCAACAGAAGGACTTCGCAGCTGCTCCCAAGCCTGACTCCTGGGAGTTACGCTGCCATGAAGAGCCACACGCAGGCAGCAGGCAGGCTTTCTGCAGACAGAAGGTCCCAGGTCCTCTGGGTAGACATGGGGGAGCATGACGGCTGTGTTGGGAGGCAGGAGTAGGTTTAGTTGTGTAAGAAGCCACAAAACCGTCTTCTTTGCAAGTGGCTGCCCTATCAGGAGCGGCTGCCACCCCACCAGCTTGCAGCACCTGGTGCTGTCTCCCTTGAGGACTGGGGTCGCCCTAGCAGGGTGCCCTGCTCCCTCTGTGGTTTCCCTGGCGTTTCCAGGGCAACTTCGGCGCCGTCTGGTGTCTTCCTGGTGAGGTGTGATGGCTTGTGTCCCATCTTTTTATCCAGTAGTTTTCTTATCATTGATTTTTAAACTCTCATTGCATATTTGGGAAAACATTCTTTTAAATGATTTGTGTTTTGCAAAAATTCACTCCCGGTCTGCAGCTTATCTTTTCATTCTTTGATGGTGTCTCTGGGAAGAGCAGGAATTTTTAAATTTTAATAAAACCCAGCTTTATTTTCTCATCTAAAATGTCATCACCAGACCCAAGTTCATCCAGATTTTCCTTTTTGTTTTCTTCAAGGACTTTATAGTTTTACATTCTACATGTAATCCTCTGGTCCATTTTCAGTTAGTTTTTCTGAAGGATATTAGGTCTGGGTTTAGGTTCTTTTCTTCTCTTCTATTCTTTCTTTCTTTTTTCAAGTGGTGATCCAGTTGCCAGTTATTCTAGCAGTTTATTGAAAAAACTATACTTTCTGCAGTGGATTGTTTTTGTTCTTTATCAAGGAGTAGTTGACTCTGTTAATGTGAGTTGATTTTGGGGCGCTATACTTTGTTCCATTGATATTTGTTTTTTTCTTCATAAGTATCACACTGTCTTGTTACTGTAACTTCATGGTAAATCTTGAAGTTAGGTGGTTGTATCTCTTCTACAGCTGTTGTCAGTTTTGTGTTGGGTCTTTTGCTTTTCCATGTACAGTTTAGAATCAGTTTGTCAGCATCTGTCAAATAACTTGCTAAGATTTTAGCCATAGGTGGTGGTGCACACCTGTAATCCCAGCTTCCAAGAGGCTGAGGCAGGAGGATCGCTGAGTTGGAGGCCAGCCTGGGCTGCATAGTGAGTTCAAGGACACCCGGGACTGTACAGTGAAAACTTTGTCTCAAAACAAAACACAACTTGCTCAGATTTTGAGTAGGATTGCACTGAGCCTGCACAGGAGACTGGGAAAAGCAGACATCCAGACAATACTGCATCTTCTTCCTGTCCACACACTTCACTTACACCTCCCTTTGCTTAGCTCTTTGAGATCTTTCATCTGAGGTTTGTGGTTTTCCGCACATAGACACATGCCGTGTGTTATGCTTACACCTAAGTCATTTGGGGGATGCTAACGTAAGTGATACTGTGTTTTACTTTCAAGTCCTCCTTGTTAAAACAATTGCTTTCTGTGTATTAACATTGTATCCAGCAACCTTGCAAGTATCAGTTCTTCCAGGCCGGTGGCGATCCAGCGGCCCCAGTTTTAGAGAGTTGTGAACAAACTGGGTGACTGGGTCCAGGAGACACTGGGTCAGGACACGGCTGGAGCAGACATTGGGTCTTTCTGATTTTGAAACCCCAATTTATTTCCATTGAAGGTCTTTCATACAAGGCAGATTTCTACTGTCAGAAATGTCGGAGAGGGAATTTCTGGTTCTGGTGGAGTTTGGATGAGAAATACTCCCTTTTGGTTCTATAAAGTACTTCATAGCTATAATCTACCACGAAGGCGAATGAAATATGTAGAGGTTTTCTTTTTTCTTGATCTTTCTCCTATACAATTTGTATTGTTCTACGCAGTTTTTCCCTACATCATCCTGCTGCAGTAGAATCACTTTGGTTTCAGGTGGGTATTCGGGGGTTGGCTTGTCTTAGTCTCTGCTCCAAGGGTCGCCGTCTGTGGCTAAAGTGAGAGGACAGAGTGTGTGGTATGCATGCCCGTGCCGCTGCCCATTGCTGGGTTCCAGGCTGCTCCTCGGCTCAGGGAGGTGTCCAGGCTCCCGGGGAGCGGCTCACACACACACCTGGCCAAGGAGGTGGCCTGGGAGTCACAGCCAGCTTTGAAGCTGTGTGTGTGATTTTAAAAGCCTGTCATTGTTGGCTAGAAAGTGGGCCTCCTGTGTCAGCATCATTCAGGCGGAACACTACAGGGCAGGACTTGGGGACACTCCCAGAGTACCTGCCAGGGCCCGGGACTGCCTCCCTCCCAGGCACCCGAGGGGGGCCCTCTCCTCCCTAGCACCCTGCAAAGTGGCTGCTCTGCTCCTGAGAGGCAGAGCCAACCCAGGCCTTGCTGTTCTCTCCAGGTGCCTGAACCTGGGGACCCGGCTCTGCCACGAAGTTCCCCGGGCCAGCGCCAGAGCCACCTCCCTCTGCCGGCTGCTGTTTCGGTTTAATATCACTCATCACAGGCAGCGGCTTACATTTCTACTTAAGCTCCTTCTTGCCTAGCATTCATCCAATAAATGTGGAGTTACTAAGTGAGTAAGTGAAGTAGTCAATCGTAAGTACTGCGATGGCCTCGATTTTCAAGATTAAATCTTTCTCTCTTCTATTCTGCTGCTTCATTGTCAGGGACACTTTTCTGTCTTCTTAAATAGCGCGTGAGTATTAATTTTTTTTCAGTACTGGGGATTGAACCCAGGGCCTCTGCAGTGAGCTACATCCTGAGCCCTTTTCACTAAGTTGCCAAGTTGCCCAGGCTGGGCTCAAACTTGCAACCCTCCTGCCTTGTCTTCCAGAGGGCTGGGATTGTACCACCACATCCAGTTTAAAAGTTTTATTTATTTATTTTTTAAAGATGAGGCTTCTCAGAACTAAGACTTTGTTGAGAACCTACCCGTGTGTGGTCTTATGTAAGGACCTTTGCCCGTCACTCAGGTAGGAGGTGTACGTGGTAACTGCTTCGACCTGCAAGACCTCTGTCCACGCAGTGCCACCAGCCTCAGCAGGAACCCAGGACGGCGGTCCCAGCTGAGGACGTGGGCACCCCGTGCCTGTCCGGGCTGTGAGCTGTGGTTGTGTAAAATGGGAGCAAAACTGCGGGTGTCCGGGCGGCAGAGCTGTTCTGATCACCAACGACCGAAAGTGGGTCTTGGTTCCTAAACTGAGTTTCACTCAAATCCCAGACACCTGGACAGAGGTCCTTGGCGATCGTCGTGTGCAGTTTGGTCACTGATGCGGATTCTGAGACTCAAAGATAGCAGAGGTGGAAGCTCACAGTGGTGGGAATAAACTTCTAATTGTGTGCAGCTTCATCCCTTTTGTGTGATACAGAGGCCTTTGTGATTTTGTTCTAGTCTCTAAAACAATCTCTGCTTATGCTTAAGCCTCCCTTCTTAATCGTTCCTGGTCTTGGTGGAGGAATGTGGGGTAATCCCGGGAAAAACGGATTTCCCAGAGGTCTCTGTTTCTTATAAATAGCACGGTTGTGTTTTTAATCTTACCCTTCTTTAAGTACAATTTCTCCATAAAAGGTGCATATGTTATTTAAATTTAAAAAAGGGAAACACAGAAAAGAAAAATGAGTTTCTCATGGATGGATTACCCTATACCACTGCTGCCCGTTGGGAAGGGGAGATGGAGGTGGGGTGTCCCTGGCCAAAGGCAGCTCCTGACCCCAGCCAGATTGGGGCGTCACCTCCCCGAAGACTTGGGGTCCCGCCACACATGTGATTCTCTTGTGCTCCCTTTATACACTTTGCATAATGAGTTTGCCTGTGTTTTTACGAACACACCGCAGGCTGTGGTTTTCTGTGACTTCATAGAGGTCCTGGTGTGTTTCAAGACTTTACGGCTGTCTGTCTGGCCTGCCTCTGATTTTCCAATACCAAGCCCTGGTTGGAGGATTTGATTTCTTTTCCCTGAGTGCCGGGTGCTTTGTTGCCAGAGGAGGAGTTCCCGGAAGTGACACTGCAGGGCTAGTGTCTGTGGCCTGAGACGCTGTCCGAGTGTGAAGTTGGTCTCCTGGTGTGGCCCTGGGCTGGACGGGCCCCTCTCCCTCTTCAGCACCCACGGAGCAGCTGCGGGTGGCACCGGAAGGTTCTGGCCAGGCCCAGAGGGGCAGCCGCAGGTCCTGTGCTGGGAGATGGTCCCCACGCACCAGCTTCCTGCTGGGCCCGGGAGCTGGGCCTCGTCTTGGAGCCTTGTGGGCCCTGCAGAGGTGCGTGCTGGGTGCAGCAGCCTTCGGTGCCCTGGGACCCCACCCAGGTGGAGCCGGCCTTGGGATTCCCCTCCCATTCCCGCTTCGTGACGGCCCGAGGGAGCCAGAGGTGGGCCCGTCACCTCCTGTGAGTCTCGCTCTTGCCCAGCATCTCCTGCTCCTGGGCAGAGGCCCACATGCTTTTTATTACCCTTCTCATCGTAGCGCGGACGGCTCCCACTCTGCACACCAACTACCTGCTAACCGTTTCCCGTGTACTATGTAATTTTCCTGATTGCCGTTGGCCGGTTGCTTGGCTTTCGCCAAGGAGATGTAATTAACCCTTCCCTTGTCTCTGAACACTCTCTCCATCCAGCATCCCCCACTGTCACCTGCATGTGGCGCGACTTCGTCCGCTGTAGGTCGCTTCTCCGCGTGGTTCTGGGAGCTGCCCTTGAGTCTCCTCAGAAGTGGGGCCTCTAGGTTACTTGCAGCTTTTTCAGACTGTTCTGTTCTGTCTTCTGAAACAGGGTCTTGTTGTGTAGTTCAGGCTGGCCTTGAACTATGTGGCCCAGGCTGGCCCCAAACACAGAGTGATCCTCCTGCCTCAGCCTCCCCAGTGCTGGGATGGCAGGCGTGCGCCACCACGCCCAGCTCTATTTCAGTACTTATAGGATGAAATATCAAGCTCCTTTTCATGAGAGTAAAAGTCAAGTCAGCTGAAGTTTGTGGAAGGAAGTCCGAACACCAGGTGAAACCCTGTGTCCATTGCGAGTTCAGGATTTCATCCTGCCTCTCGCCGACCCAGATCAGGGGTTTTTCTGGTTAACTCAGGGATGCAGCCCTCCCTCGTCCCTGTCTTTCTTCCCCAGCCTGGTTACTCTCGAGCTCCCTGAAGAGTAGGTTTCCAGACCCCCAGAACATCTTAGACTTTACAAATAGCACTCGGGAGGCTGAGGCAGGATGATCACTGCAAGTTTGAGGCCAGCCTGGGCTACATAGCAAGATGCTGTCTCAGACAAGCAAGAAAACGAGCGCGCGGGCAGGCAGAGCTGCGTCCAACGGTGGCTGACTGCATCCTTGCTGCCCTCAGCCTGCAACGTGTGGTACCTCAACTCCGTGGAGATGGAGTCACTGACCGGCCACCAGGCGGTGCAGAAGGCGCTGAGCCTGACGCTGCTGCAGGAGCCCCCACCCCTGTCCACTGTGGTCCACTTCAAGGTGTCGGCCCACGGCATCACACTGACGGACAATCAGAGGAAGTGAGTGTGCGGCTCGCCTGGGGTCCCGTGATCCTCAGAATCCTCCAGCACCAGTGTGGTGGGCGGTGGGTCCCACGGCGCCTTCCTCAGGCCGGCGCGGGGACTGCAGCTTGTGGCATCAGAGGCCTCCACGCCACCCGCCAGGCCCTTGGGGAGCCTTCTGTTTTTCTTTTTCGGTACTGGGGATTGAGTACCAAGGCCTTTGCACTGAGCTAGCTACATCCCCAGCCCTTTTCATTTTGAGACAAAAATCTTCTCTTAAGTTTCCCAGGCCGGGGGCCAAACTTGCGATCCTCCTGCCTCAGCCTCCCAGAGTGCTGGGCTTACTGGCCTGCATCACCGTGCCTGGCCCCTTAGGGCTCCTAGAGCCCATCCCACCTTCCCGGGGCTGAGAGCTCATTTCCTAGGACAGTCCTGTCCGCTTGGTATCTGCTTTCTGAAGGACGGGGTCAGCAGCTTTTTATTCTATGAGGCTTCACGGGGGGACGGGTCCAGCCCAGGGCACCCAGCCTCCAGCTCTGGTAACCCCTGCTCTCCCCGTGTCCACAGGCTCTTCTTCCGGAGGCATTACCCCGTGAGCAGTGTGATTTTCTGTGCCTTGGACCCTCAGGACAGGAAGTAAGAAATCTGCACTTTCCTTGAGCATTTGCACTGGACTGTAATTTACAAAATTAACTCTTTTCTCTTTAATTCCCAAGGTGGATCAAAGAAGGCCCCTCCTGCAGGTGAGTCGCCAGCTCTGTGCATAATCTTAGGCCAAAGTGGGATCCCGGCAGAATCCACACTGGCGACTTGGCCTGCCAGGGAACTGCTCACTTGTTTTTGAGAAGCATCCGAGTCCTGGTCTCCGGAGAGCTCACAGCCCCTCCCGGGAGCTGGGCAGGGCTTTCGGGTTCCCAGGCCCCGTCTGGACTGGGCTCTGTGCAAGTGCTGCCCCCTGACCGCTTACATGCGCATCTCTGTCGGGTTACTTGGTGTCACTGGCTGGTGCCTTCTCCTTGGTGTGGAAGCAGCTGAGCTGGAACAAAAGGGCCTTCATTTTTCTAAGAAAGAGAAGAGTGTCCTCAGCCAGAGCTGGAGCGGTGCAGAATGGCTGGCGCTGTGTCGAGTTGTGGACTCAGAAAAGCCTGTTAAGGCCCTGGCTTTGGTTCTTAAAAAAATAATGAGACGTTCTGTAAAATTGATTGATTGATTTTGTGGTAGTGGGGATTGAACCCAGGGCCTTCACACTGACCTACCTACTCAGTCCTCCAGCCCAGACCATTTTTTAAAATTTTGAGACAGTCTTCCTAAGTTGCCCAGGTTGCCAGGTGTGGTGGCCTATGGCTGTAATCCCAGCACTTGGGAGGCTGAGGCAGGAGGATCCCATGAGTTCAAGGCCAGCCTGGACTACACAGTGAGATCATGTCTTTAAATAAACAAAAGGCTGCCCAGGCCGCACTCAAACTTTGGACCCTCCTGCCTCAGCCCCCGAGTGCTGGGATCACAGATGTGTACCACCATGCCTGGATGCCCTGTCCCTTTCCACTGCTTCCTGCCTGGACATAGCCGGCCACCCAGGCTAGGCTGAGGGTGTGGGGCGTCCTCTCAGGAGTTGGCCTGGACGGTGCCGGGGTCCTGGCCTCTCAAGGGCCTCCTCTGCCCGGGGCAGTGGGGCCAAGCTGAGTGTGGGGGACGCAGGACAGCCCGGCTGTGACCTCGCCCTCTGGGGCCTGGTGCTCTGACCCGACCTCTCCCCCACAGAGTCTTCGGGTTTGTGGCCCGGAAGCAGGGCAGCGCCACCGACAACGTGTGCCACCTGTTCGCGGAGCACGACCCCGAGCAGCCTGCCAGCGCCATCGTGAACTTCGTGTCCAAGGTCATGATTGGCTCCCCCAGGAGGATCTGAGGCCCGGGAGCCCGGCGGGGCAGCGGTGGGGCCATGGGCATTGCTTCTCCTCGGCCAGGGTCTCCAGGGCAGGACGTGCAGGGAGGGGACAGAGCAGTCTCCACAGACCGGCATCTGAGGGCACTAAGGAAACCGCCACCTCCTTTGGCAGAAGCAGCCCTGTCCTGCAGCACCAGGACTGGCCACTCCCCCAGCAGCGCGGACGGGACAGAAGGGGTGGCGTGACTGATAAAGGTCTGTGCGGGTCAGGCCCCTCTGAAACAGTGACGACATGAACATGTGCACAGTGGTGTGGGCTGTGAGAACTGGGGCAGTGGCAGCCTTTTTGTGTTATGGAGGAGGGTGCGATGTCAGAGGCCCCTTCTGCATGTGCCATGGCTCCGTGCTCCCACTCACATTCCACAAGCCAGGCTGGGGCAGCACCCAGGAGGACCCTGAGAGGAAAAAGGAGAAGATGGGAGCAAAAAATGCCGTTTCTCTGTAATTTATATTTTACATATGCCAAATTATTTATAACCTTTGCCATAGCTATACTGTTCCAGTGTCGAATGCTGCAGTGGCCCTGCGGTGGTCTGCGGGATGCCCTGCAGGCTCTGGGCCCCCAAAGTGCAGGGGGCCTTGGACCAGGGTGGCCCAAGGAGGGTTTCCCCACCCAGCCAGTGGCCGTTGTCTTCCCCCGAGGAGGGTGGGAAGCAGCAGCCCCTGCTCAGGCCTGGGTGAGGACAGAGGACAAGGAGTGGAGTGGGAGAATCTGCCTGGTGTCATCCCTGCGTGGCCGCTTGTCCCCTTGTGAGCCGCCTGGGGCCCCGGCTCCGATCCCGGAAGTGTAGTCCCCCTCGAAGACCCTTGGGCAGTGCGGCTGGGCCTCTCCTAAAAAGAGCAGTGAAGACAACATTGCCACGGGCAACTTGGGACCAGGCAGGCCGGGGTGGACGTTATGTGTGTGTGTGTGTGTGTGTGTGTGTGTGCGCGCGCGCGTGCGCGTGCATGTGTACGAGTGTGTGTGTGCAGGTGTGTGTGCATGTGTGTGTAAGCTGTGGACCCCACTTTCTAGCTCCTATGCACCAGATACAAGTGCCTCGTTTCTGTGCCAAACGCCTGCCCTGGTCTCCGCATCCTCCTGATGTCCTGGCTGCTGCCCCCAGCGGCCAGTGTCTGGCTGCTCACCTGCAGCGGGCACCCGGGAGGGGCGCCGGGGCCTGGGGTGCTGGGGACCCCGCAGGCCTGCTGTCTAAGCGGATGGACCTGTGGATCCTCCCTGAAGGTCAAAGAAGTGAGGGTGTGGGGAATCAGCAACCAGCAACACGGAAGCCCCCCGTGGCCCGAGCTGGTACGATGCAATGCCTCGCATGCCGGTCCCCGGGCCTGCACGCGTCCTGGGAGCAGCGGTGAGCGCCGCCCTGCCGGTCACGAGGCGCCGCGTTCCTGCAGTGTGGGCTGTGACCGCGGAAGAGCCACGCTGAGCCTCCTTCCGCCCAGCGTGCGCGACCGCGGACGTCTCCGTGTCTGCCTTACTTCTTAACATGCTACTCCTTGATGTTGTGAAGAATATATCCAGTATGTAAATGAATGTGCGCCCAAGCCGCTGTATAGTCAATTTTCTCTGCCCTTTAAATATCATCTCTATTCAGAGTATAATAAAAATGACGAGCTTGGTAAGGCTCCGGGAGGCAGGTGTTGTGTCCGCCGCGTCCTCAGGGGCATGCGTGCGCCTGTGTGTGCGTGTACACAGGTCGTGTGTGTGCCTGGGTCCTCGTAGGTCAGTGGGTTCACTCATCGGTTCACGCGTTGTTTTCAGGGTAAACTTAAGAGCCAGGCACAATAGTGCTCTGGGAGGCTGAGGCAGGAAGATCGAAAGTTCAAGCCACGCTGGGCAATTTAGCTACTTAGTGAAACCCTGTCTCAAAAAATAAAAAAAAGAACTGGGGATGTAGCGTAGTGTGAGGGCCCTGGGTTCAATCTCCAGTACTGGGGAATATATGTAATTATTTTTTTAAAGATCACTGTCGTGAGAACTTTGAAAAGTTACATTCAGGAAGAAGCCACACAGAAAAATCAACTTTTTTTTTTTTTTTGGTCCTGTCGCTTGAACCCAGAGCTGTCTCACTGAACTACATGCCCAGCTCTTTTTTGTTTTTTATTTTGAGACAGGGTCTGGCTGATTTTCTCAGTCGAGGCTCAAACACGGCAGTCTTCCTGCTTCGGCCTCCCAGAGTGGTGGGATTATAGGCGTGCAACACCACGCTGTACCAAAAATCAACTTTTAAAAAATGAGCAACCACAGGGACCTGCGGGACAGTAACAAAAGACAGCAGTCTCGTCATTGGAGTAGCAGGAGGGGAGGAAGAGAGAGCTGCTAAAAAGCAGTTGAAGTAATGGCTAAGCACTCCCCGAATTTGGCAAATGATACAGACCTTTAGATTCGAGAAGCTTAAACTCCAGACAGGAAAAACAATAAAAAAAAATCATAACAAAGATAAACTGAAAACTAAAGGTAAAGTCTCAGAGGCAACCAGGGGCAGTGCTGGGTTGTGTCAGGGAGGGCACCAGTTATCAACTCAAGTTGTCAAATATTGACACCAAGCCAGGTATGGTGGTGCACACCTATAATCTTAGTACTTGGGAGGCCGAGGGAGGAGGATCCCTGCAAGTTCAAGGCCAGCCAGGGCTGCATAGTGAGACCCTGTTTTAAAACAAGCAAACAATATTGATACCAGAAGATGTGATAAACTGCATATTGTAATAGCTGGACCGGCTGCTACAGCATAAAAGGTAAGCTCAGCTGCACTAAATAAATCAAGATGGGATCTTTAAAAAAAGGTTCTAGCGACCCACAGAAAAGCAAGGTGATAGAAAAACACAAATGGGACGCACCAAAACATCAATAAAATGGCACACCTTTGCCTTAATATCACACTAATTATGATTTAGCTCAGTGGTTTTGCCGCCTGCTGCGCAAGCGCAAGGACCCGAGTTCAATCTCCGGTACCAAAAAAAAAAAAAAAAAATGCAAATGGTCAAACTACACCTGTCAAAAGACAGAGTGGCAGAGGGGAAAACGTGACCCACTCACCTGCAGTTTACAGAAACGTCGGATTCAGTGACCTGGGCAGGTGGGAAATGAGGCACAGGAAGAATCAAAATGCAGAAGTCATGTTCCTGTCCATTTGGACAAGGGAGTGACCAGAATCAGCGCCACTGTTCAAGGAAGAGGGCGTCTGGCAGGTGCTGAGTGCTCATGCAACATGCGAGGCACAGAAGGCAAAGCCTGACAGCTGAGAGCTGGGAGTCCAGTTCCCTTTCACCGGAAGAGGTGGTCCCTCTCGGGCCTCAGTGAGGGGAGCAGCTGTCCTCTGCCAGGCCCCTGCCTTAGAGCCACCACCAGGGACTGGAACGTGCTCCAGAGTTACTGTCCTCACTCTGGAGCTGCAGGGATTGGGTATTTTGTGCCAGCCACAGGTAGAGTGGTTGAAACAGCCACCTGCCTGCAGTAGCCTTGTGACAATATCATCTCAGGGACAGGAGTCGGGGAACCCAGTACCCCCAGATGTGGTCTGGGCAGGAGGGCGGGAGGCTGAGCTGCCTGTGGGAGCTCGCTGAGCTTCTCACTTACGTGCATGCCCTTCTTCTGTCTGCAATCCCCAAGCTTTCCTTTTCTCTTTCCAGTACTGGGGCTTGAACCCTGGGCCTTGCCTGGTTTAGAGACGGTGGAGGGTGGGAAGAGCACGGACTGAAGTGGAGCCGCGGCTCGGCTTCCCGCTCTTCTGTGTGATTTTGTGCCCAGGCCCCGACCACGCAGCAGGGGAGCGGCCACGGCTCAGCCCAGGACCGGGACGTTGCTCAGGGGTGCCACCAGGACGCCTCGGCCTGGCCCTGGCCCGGAGCCCCGTCTGGATGCAGTCCGCACTCGCCCTGCCCTGCTGCCGTGTGTCTAACCCCGCGCGGGGCGGGACCAGAGTGGGACAGGAGCCTGAGGAAGTCTGAGAACGAAACGATCCTTAAGTGACCCACTGACCTCTCTCTCTCTGAACTGAACCCATAACCTTTGCACTGAGCTACATCCCCAGCCTTGCTTATTTTTATTTTTTTCTTCTGAGATGAACTTGGGATCTTCCTGCCTCAGCCTCCCTCGGTCCTGGGATTCCAGGCATGGTGCCTACGTGGGCTCCTTCGTAATCTCTCTGCATGCTCATCTTTCAGAAAAGAGTAGCAGGACAGGCTGCAGTCCCATGAGGTCCTCGACAGCACTGTATTTGTAAAAGCTCCATGTGTCAAGCTCAGAAAACCTGAGACCTGGGTCACAAGCAGTGACCATGGTCATTCAGGACAGCGGGCGGCCAGCGACTCCTGGGAGGGGCGATGGGTGAGTCAGGAGGGTCTGGACCGGCTGGCTCCGCCTCACAGGGACAGCTGCTTGGCTCTGCAGCCCCCGAGGGCGGACAGAGGAGCACGTGGGAGGCCCGGAAGTCGCCACAGGAAGCTTCCTGTTTCCGGTCTCCTCAGATCCCAGGAGCCCGCGCAGGAGACGCGCCCCCTGTGGGCGGGGACACAAGGTGGCAGTGGCGCGGCAAGGAAGGTGCTGATGCCATGGAAACGCGCTTCAAGCGGAGACGCCAGTGGCTGTGGCAGGGGCTGAGCTGGGCCTGGAGAGGCCTTGGGGAGGGACAGCGCCGAGCAGCCCTGCAGGCAGGCGGCTGGGGACACAGCTGGGGGGACTCGGGCCCAGACCAGCGCTCGCGAGCTGCCTAGGGACGAACTTTCCCCACCACACACACACTAGTCTGCCGGGCCAAATGTAAGAAGTAGGAAGAATGCACAGCCGGACGCCGAGGTGGGGCGCGCCCGTCATCCCAGCACTCTGGGAGGCTGAGGCAGGAGAATCCCAAGCTCGAGCCTAGCCTGGGCAGCTTAGCAATTTAGTGAGACCCTGTCTCAGAGTGGAAATCACAGAAGGGCTGGAGACGTGGCTCCGTGTGAGGGGCCTGGGGTCAATCATCGGTAATGGAAATAAAAAGAGTGAATGAATGAATACAAAATAGGCGAGCGGGCTCTGCGCAGAATGCAGGGGGCGGGGCCGGAAGCCCCGCCGGCTCCCCCGAAGCGAGGCCCTCCTGCCCCCACCTCGAGGATCCTCTCTTCCGCCTCTCCCGCTTCGTCTCCCGAGGGACACAGAGTGTGTGACACCGAGGCCCAGTCCTTGGAGGGGTAAAGGAGGCGGCCCTAGGCAAAGTGCAGTTGTCAAAACTTACTGGGGAGCAGTTGAAGGAAAGGAAGACATTTCAATGGTGTTTGCATTAAAAAAAAGACTTTTTCAAAAAATTTTTGCAGGGCGTGGCACATAAACCTGTAATTCCGGCACTCGGAGGCTGAGGCAGGAGGATCGCTGTGAATCTGGGCCAGCCCGGGCTCCATAGTGAGTTCAAGGCCAGCCTGAACTACATAGAGAGAACCTGCTTCAAAGACACCAAAACAGTAAAAACTATAAACGCTATCAGTACCTGTCTGCACAATGATCACACTCCTTGTGGTGGGGGCCGAACCCGAACCCATTCTTTTAATTTCCTCCTCCCCTCCTCCTCCCCCACCCTCTGGATCTCCGGAGCCCTTGTGCCTCTGCCCTCGGGGGGCTGGAAGCGGGGTCGCTGGGAGCCTCTGGCCCAGAAGAGAGGCCGGGCCGGGCCGGGGTGCGATCCCCCCTCCAGTCTGGAATAAGGAACCGAGGCCACAGCTCCCTGAGCCTGCACAGGGCGCCTCCCATTCTCCGTGTCCGAAGGGGGCAGGCGACCGCTCCCGTGGGGGAGCCAGGTCCCCGGCTCTCCGGGACGTTCTCCGGCGTTGGGAGCAGGTGACCTCGGAGTGCTGGGGCCCGGGTCTCCCCACTGGGCGGTCTCGAACCCCGTCAGGGGGAGAGCACCCTGCACTCTCCTGGCCCGGCACAACCCTGAAGCTACTTGTAGCCGGGCGTGGTGGTGCATGCCGGTCATCCCAGCACTCTGGGAGGCTGAGGCAGGAAGATGGCAAGTTCGAGAGCAGCCTGGACCGCTTGGTGACAGTGAGACCCTATCTGAAAATAAAACAAACAAACAAACAAACAAGGCTGGATGTAGCTCAGTGTGAAGGCCCTGGGTTTAATCCTTAGCAGTGGAAAATAAAAGGAAATAAAAAATAAAATACGTAAGGTAAAATACATAAAACAAAATGTAATAATAAAATACGCCCCGCCCCCCCCCCCCCCGCTTCCCGGGAAAAGGCCCCCGCTGCAGCGCCTCGCGTGGGCGGCAGGGGGCGCGCGCGCCCTTCACGCTGTCTGCTCTGGCTCCAAACTCATCTCCCGCACCCGCCTGCGGGTTCTGGGGGACTGGGCTCCCCAGCTTCAGAGGGGAAGTAAGAAAAGCAATTCCTGTCTGCCCGAGTAGCGCACGCCTGTGAGCCATCCCTCTGGGAGGCTGAGGCAGGAGGCTCTCGAATTGAGACCATCCTGGGCAACTTAGCAAGACCCTGTCTCAAATTAGAAAGGAACTGGAGGGGGCTGGGGATGAAGGCCCTGGGCTCAGTCCTCAGTTAGTAGGGGGAAAAGCAATTCTTGAGAAGTGGTGGGTGTTAAATACATGCATAGAGGGGAAGCGTGGTCAGCAGTTAATGCGCTGTGACCTGGATGGGACTGCTCTG